AGCACAGGAGTTTCGGGGCTCGCTCGCTGCCCCCTTTCCTGATGCGGCGCTGGGAATTAATTCCTGGTGGGAGCCGGGCTTATGCAGGGCGCGGGGAAGTTGCGGCTGTGAGGTGGGAAATCAGAAATAGCACTCGACAATGCTTTCCTACAGAATTTGCTAAAATTACAAAATCAGAGAAAATAGATGCTGAATGTCCACTCTCCCTTTAAAGCCCCCCCCCCCCCCCCCCCACATTTTTTTTCCATCCTGTTCGTTTAACTAACCTGCTTTCTCTTGCTGCCCTTAGAGCATACCACTGGATGAGAAACCAGATCAAGTGTCTTGGACTGAAATGGGACAGGGTACCAATGAAGGAAAGCGAAGAAGAGAGCTGGAAGCAGCTTGGTTTTCTCCAAGCCCGTTGAGGCTGCTGAGCAAAGAGCCCTGAGCTTTGCCTGAGATGCATTTAAAGAAAAACCAAAGACTTTCGTAAAGGACTTCTAGCGAAGCGTCCACGTGTTTTGAGTGGCACGGCTTTGCAAACGATTACCTTCTATTTATGAGTCGCGAGGAAGATTCAACACTGACTGGTGGTGTCAAACACAATTTAAATTATTTGTAGTATCTATATTTGTATTTATTTTGATGAATGTCTTTTAGCAGTTACTGGTCTTAATATTGCTTTTGCATTAATATGTCCATTCCAAATAAATTACTTGAAATGTTCACTTTTTATTACTATACTCTGGGCTTCAGTAACTTTTGTTGACGTGTATTTGTGGAGCAGGCAGTGGTGTAGTGGCTTAAAGAGAGTGGGTAAGCTCAGCTTTTTGGTGCCCTGGACTGGGCAGTAGGAGGTGGAGAAAACCCAGATAACCCATTTGCGTTTGACCTTGTCTCCAGACCAGGGAGGGAAAGTGTGTTGAGGTCCAGTTCTGGTCAGTGGTGGAAATAGAAAAGCCTACCACAATTTGGGTAAGTGCCGCTTTTGAAGCGCCTTCCCATATAATCGAGTAATGGTGGCTACGGAAGGTGTGGGAGCTCCCTGTGACAATAAAACACCGCTGCCTGCTAACGCCCTGCGTCCTTCCTCTGGCCCCCATAGCTTAGTGCTCTGCTAAGGCAGAAAACTGGATTCTTCATTTCAGAATAACAGAACGCCAACGTTCCATGGGATCCCTCAGCTTTGTACCAAAGCAAGCTGAACTCCTCGCGTTCTCCTCTACCTCTACTGGCTGTAGATTGGGTTAAATTTCTACAGGATAACTAGGAAGCATGGAGATGGTCTTTTTCCGATAGCACCCCGACCGAGGTGCTAGGAGGAAAAAAGCAGCTAATTTCTTTTGGATAAAACTTCTGAAGTTTTATCTCGTGAGGCTGACATTATCACCGGCTCACCTGGGCTTCCTGGAGAGCAATGCTGCAGCGCATGAGTCAGATCCAGCAGCCAGGACTATGAGCTTAGCAGGCAAAGTACTCGCTAGTAACTGAATTTCAGTCAGGTCATTTCTCCCTCCCAATATCAGTGCAGTATCAGTTCTTACAGGAGACTTTGTACGAGAGGAAGTTCTGCAGTATGTAATTACGAGCAGCCTGTAGTAAGGGCAAGAGAGACTCAGTATGGGAAGGGATGGGGGTGGTTCCCCATTTCTGGAAGCAGCAGGGAGACTTTGGCACTGCAGCGTGCTACAGTGGGGCTTTGCATCCTCCTTGCACGCTGCTGGCAGCTCTGCTGCTGCGTGCTGGGCTCATGCAGAGGCCGGGTTGCACATGCTTGAGCTGGGGATGTAGCAAACGTTTGGCCACAGCATTCGAAAGATTTTGGCCTCAATTCCCCTCTAGCACAAGAATGCCAGAGGTGCATTTAATGCAGAAAACTGACATTCAAAAGCAGATTTGTTTTATGCCAGTTTTCCTTGGCACCATTGCAGGAGGGTGAAATAAAAGGCCAAGCTAGAGCAGAGGCTTTTGGCTCCTCATCACCTTAGTTTTGGTGAATCCAAGCAGAAAAAAACTGACAACAGCTGAGGATCTGGAGCTATTGCCTGCAATGACAACCACTGCTAGGGGGGGTGCAGGGGGGAGGAGGGAACCTGATGCTCTCCAGTCCTGCAGCCACCAGCTGCTCCAGCATGGCTCCAAGGCCTTTACAAACAAACAGAGCTGTCCCTTACTCTAGATGCAAATGTTGATGAAAGGCAAGGTATTGGTCAAACAACAGTTTTATTCCAGGTTTATGGAATCAAAAATAAAACTCAAGAACATCTTTATTTCTATGGAAAAAGGGGGTTACATTCTTGCAGTGGAATTACTGGCTTTTCATCTCGCTCAGTGGGATTTTACTCTTTAAGAGGTAAACAAACAAACCTAGATTGACAATTAGCTGTAAATAGCCAAAGGAGGAGACTCCAAATTTTTTGTATAAAATTCCGCCGATGGTGGGGCCCACCGTCCGGGTTAAGGGTTGGACCGAGGCACAAATCCCAAGCATGGTACCTAGGAGAGATGGCAGAGACACGCAGATGTCAGGGTGGGGACAAGTCTTGGGATGGGCAGGCAGAGAAGAGTGTGCAGAAGCCACTTTGTCCTCGACAGCATTCCCCTGCAGTAGTAGCAAATCACTTCAAATGATCTCTTGCATTAATTTATAGAGGTCCAATTAGGCTTCGTTAAGACTAAGGACTCCTGGAGGCACGGGGACTAGTTTCCACCACTGTGAGCCAGCTCAGCTCGTTACTGAGCGGTCCAGACGGCCATAATGCTGCCCGAAAGGCAAGCCGGTGCTCACTGCTGCCTTCACTGGGTGCCAAGGATGCCTTTGGCCCCAGAAGATGCTTCTGAACGTTACACTCCACAGGGCTGGTAACTACTGCATGGGCTTAGGGATGGAGAGGTAATTTCTAGGGTTATGTTCGAGACTTCCAAGCAAATCACAGATTTTTTTTTTTTTCCCCAATATCATAATTATCCAAGGGCCCCATTCCACCCGAGCTGCTCTTGCCATTTATTCTCTAGTGTGGGACAGCGGAACAGCTCTCGAGGGCTTACTGCAAAAAAGAACGGATATTTCAATTTGGATGGAAATGCGAGTCCTTCACCCTGCTGGGCCAGTTCCCCCTCCAGCAGTGCTCCCATTTGCATCGTTAACAGGAACCTGGAGGATGGGGAAGCACCTCCAGTTTGGAAAAGGCGGATTTTTTTCCACACGCAGACAGGTGGCCAGGACATCCCATGGGATGCAAAGACAGCCCCCATGCACCGGCACGGTCTTTTCCCTGCCGTCTTTGTACAGGACAGCTATCACACTCGGGAGAGCAGAAAATACCCAGCCAGAAAATCATGAGCCCCCAACACCGGGAGGAAGGACACGCTGGCAGCATATACAAGAAGCTTGTGCCCCGCTCTCAAATTACGTTTCAATCTTTTTTTTTAGTAGTGATATGATTATTTGGGCTGTTGGCATCAGTTTTCCACCAAGACATGCATTGAGGTGTTGCTGCACGAGGCCAGCCGTGTCTGGGAAGAGGAGGATGCTGTCCTGCATGCAAGAAGATGTGGAGCCGAGTGCGATATTTAACATGGGCAGCCACAGGGAAATGATCCCTGGCTCCGGGAGAGAAGAGGCAGCCAGGTGTTCGCGTAATGCCGACCAGCGGCTGCTGGGCTTTTATCAGCATGCTTAAAATACTTGTGCAATGAGCCCGAGCCGAGGGCGTAGCTGTGCGGAGAGGGAAATCTCCCAGGAAGCGCTGCCGAGCGCTCCTCCCGTGCATGGGAACACAAAGGCGATGGGTGGGACCTCGCCTTGACCCTTTGCCAATGGGAACCATCCCACAACCACCAAACTTTCTGGGCAGGTTTTGCAATTATTTTTTCCCCTCTAGGTATTTGAATTAAAGTAATTACTACGTACAATTGCCAAACTGGCTCTTATGATTGAGGTGGCGCTTTTTTCTCTTCCCTTTCCTTTCCTTTATTTTTTTTTTTTCTGGAGCAGAAATCCATCCTCTTAAAAGGCCAGGCTCTCCCTCTGCACTTCTGTAATATGTTGCTGAGAAAGATAATTTCTATTTAATGGGCTTAAATTAGATCCCTCGTGTCAGACGCCCTCAAGCTTTAGGACATTGTAAATCTCAGCTCTGCAGGGTGGCCCTAGCTCTGGTGCAAAGCTGTGTGTGTGATGGATCTCATTTAAGGCAAGACCTTTAACTGGTACAAGTCACCGTGTCAGCAAGCAGAAAAATTCCTGCATCACTTTGTGCAGCTCTGCCAATGCACATGCTCACCTTCTTCATCATGGCTACCCCACTTTCTGAACCTTCCTTGCCATTTTTTTTCTCCCTCCCCAGCTCCTTCCCCCTTTTCGCATACCTGGCATGACCCGGCCTGGCTAGGATCCCATCCTCCCCTCCTGCCCCAGCCCTCCTCTCCTCCCACGGGTTCTCAGGGTTGGGTGAAAGAGGCTCCCCAAGCTGGGCGGGCTCCGTTCCTCTTCCCACCCTCTGCTGTGCCGGAGCGCCCTGGCTCGCCCTTCTTCCAGCTCACATCCTGTTGCTGCGCTCACATAATGGTGCTGGCCCAGATCAGCCACGCGCCCGCGGGGCAATCGTGGGGCATCATTTAACAATTAGGTCATCGCCGTCAGCAGCTGCCTTCAAACCAGCAAAGCCCGATCAAAGCTGGGGGGTTCAATGCGCCGAGCCCCGCCTGGCTGCAAGCTCTCCTCCTAAGGTTTCGCATCTGACGCGCAAATAAAATCAGGAAACGTGGGCCCGTTACGCAGGGAGGCTCTGCTGGGCTTGCTCCCTCCCTCCCCTGAGAGTGGAGGGCTCTGTGCAGAAACAAGACCTCCATTCTCAGGGAGGGAGTGGGGTTGACAAGGAGTGCTTGTGTGGATGCAAGTCCCCCTGGGCTCGGGGCTGCCCTCCCACCAGCTCGTGCGCCCAGCTGAACAGCATGTGCATGTGGGGCAGAATTTCCCCTTCCTGCCTTTGAAGATGAGGAGAGGAAAAAAAATTATCAAAGGGAAATGAATGAAATAATAATTTCCTCTCTCATCCCTTCAGTGCAAAGCCCCAGCCGTAAGCAAAGAGCAAGTGGCAAACTCATCAGCCTCGGTAGGGAGTGACCTTGGATTGGTCCTGAAAGCAGGATGGGTGCAAGGGATGGTGCCCTCTTATGTCCCACTGTTCCCTTTCCAAGACACCTATTTAAAAGGCAGGGACGAGTGACTCAGTGTCTAACAAGGGCGGACAGGTTATCCTCCTGCAACGCCCCATCCGTCCCAGCCCCGCACTGAGAAGGACACCTGAGCTCAGCCCAACCTCCAGCTCCTCTCCCTGGCCCAAAGAAAAACTTCCATGGGCTCTGCCAGCCCTGGGCTGGCGAAAACATCAGGAAAAGACAGCAGCAAGGCTCAAAAGTG